TCTGCCCAGTAAGGCACACACCACACTCGAGTAGAGTCCCCCCGCAAGGAATAAGGTATCATTCACCTTGGTAATCATCATTATCCGGGGTGTTATCATGTAAGACTGTGCTCCGTACATAGATACCAGTACCTTCACTGCGGTACCTGCACAGAAGCTAAAGTACCAGCGTACCTACAGTAGTGGGTAGCTTACCCAGGTACCTAGGTACGATGTGACGATGCATTTTGGCGTGGGCTTACAACTCAGTAGAGAGGCTACTCCATACTACCAGGTAGGGAGATACATTATTGTTACCTGCCATTCAGCTGTACTGTATGGAGAGCTCGATACGAGTATTGTACGTAGGTATCTACACAGTAGATGGTTTCCCAGCCTTGTCCGGGAAACCACTCCTCCGTCCTTCCGGTAAATCCACAGTGTGTCCTCACCTCCTAACCACGAGCCTTCTTGGTCCTGTGGTTGAACAGCCCAAATATGTGCGCAAATCATTAATTACATACTGACTTTGTGTCCCAGTACCTCCTCATTATTCAATCTGACCATAGACCTTGGGTCTGCATCTCGTGTTTTCATTGATGCCACTGGTCTGGGCCGGCCGATACCACACATAGTCTTACCCCGCTACTCTCTCGGTTCAACTCCGGTAGATATCAAATAATAGATACTACGAGCTTCAAGTATCGGCTTCCTAAAAACGGCTTTCACTTGCCCTACTTACACTTACCTAGCTGTTCAGTGTGCTCTGAGACGGCCATGAATTCCTTGTCCTAGCATTGAGCATATATTGTCTCATGCGGTCCAAGGAGACTGTCGTCAGAGCGCTCTCTTGGAATAGGAGAGGCCGTTTAGCTGACCTCCCCTTCGTTTGGCACAAGCGAAAGTCAATTTGCTGCATATAATCTCGATCGATTTGATTCTCTTTAACTTCAAATTCTTTTTCATGCATATTCGGACAGCGCATTTGGAAAATAGGGTCCTGTCACTTCGCCATGATACTACATTGCCAGTCCACTCTTCGGCCCAACTGAGCGATCTTCAAGAATCCCTCCTTATCATCTGATACATGAAGGAATTTTAATTCACACGCCTTGTTCCAGAGGTGATACTCAGTCATATCGACAATCCGAATAATCACACAAGCATTGGGATCTTACTTCATTGAAGGTACAAAATCATGCCCTTACTCGCAAAGTCACCTCGCAATACCCTATCGACAATGTCGATTGATCACCCAAGGTCATCTTTTGAGGAAGAAGGGCTCAAAATATCCACGAATTCTTGGAGAGGAGACTGTCGCAGCGACTCTCACACTACAACTGGTGCCAGGAGGACTGTTTCATTGCATACCCGGTCTATCAGCGGAACACCATGTTTCTCTACGGCGAGCAGCCCAGGCATGGGCAATTCCGACTTGCGTTGCGTTCATCCTATGCGCCAAGTGCCTGGTGCCTATACACCACAACTAAGTCAGTCCTGTCAAACACCTCTCGTGGAAAACGAGGGGTTTGACGGACGAGTCTCGACTGAGCCAGGACGGTCCACTCAGACAGAATCTGATCCACTTCGATCTTCTGTTCGTGGATTTACTACACAGACAGCGCGACATTCGTTGCAGATGCATGATGGTTCGTTCACAAGAATGCCTAGTATATCACAAACGAATCTGACCGGACGAACATCTTTTGGCTATTCACGAGACAACAGCAGCTCCCTTGAAGCAGCGTCACCAGTCTCAAGATCATCTTTAGATTTCGTGTTCCGATCGAAGACACGGACAAGCATGGATCCTATATCTCGTGCCGCCACAATTCAAGCAGCACGTCAAGCGTTTGAGGAAAAAGAAGCAGCCAAAGCACGCAAGCTTGAAGAACAGCAACTGAGGGCTGAAGAGAAACAAATGAGACGAAAGGGAAAACAAGACTGGCGCACATCATTTACAGTTGCAAACAAACAGGAACCCAAGAATGGGCTATCCGAGAAGTCGAGTGCCACAGAAGAACTAGATTCTCCCACGGATGTACCACAGCGCAAGTCGAATCCAGGCTCTTGGAGATCAAAATCCAAGACGACTTGGATGTTGTTTTTAACATGGTTACGGACTAGGGTCTTCAAGATACGCAGGAAGTTCCAAAGTTTGGACTGACATTATCTAATGTCCCAATCATAGCGGACCCATGATATGGGATTCAGTTTGAGCGAAGGCTGGCCTTGATAGAATCCATTTACCGTGCCTACATTCGAGGATCACCCGCTTAGTTGGGTCATTTGTACGATTTCCAATGACCGTATGAGACTCTCATGAGTCGAAACTTGTCCAAACGCTTTGTCTTGCTGCCTGCCATGGGTCGTATTCTCAATGTAAAATGTCAGTAAGTAGCGGTCTCTTCGTAAGATGAGCATGAAGGTGGCCAATCACGTGAGCGGTACCATAAATTGCGCAGAAGCAGTCTCTGCGCAGCCAGACTTACGATTATTCTACGGCGTGCCAGATAGCTCAACATACTACAGCGGCAGCTCGACTACGGTCTGCAGGAGCGACAACAGGCGCCTTTTCTTGTTCCATTGTCCTATCGGCTCTCGTTATCACTCTTCCTGATATCAGATCCGCTTCCTGGGACGCACCTCCACTAGGGGGGAGCGTCTCACCGAAACTCTCGTCATGGTATACGACTGGGAGGGCAAAAGAGAAATATGCTATCAGATGTACATCAAAGATAAAAAAGCGCTGGAGGAAATTATGGAATACATGCGAAATGTATATCAATTCTCACCCAGGTATGCAAATAGTCCTTTTAAGCCAGTGTTCTTCGTCTCCCATTCTTGAAAACGCAAGACTCGATTACGTTTCTCATTCACATTTGGCTAACACATACACGTAACAGTAAGCGCGCCTTTCAGACTCAGTTTAAGCGATGGGGTTTTCCTTCCAAACAGAACCCGGCCCACAAAAATGCAGAGCTTGTCGCTCGCATCAAACAACTTTGGGAGCGGAATACAAGCCAACGGGACATGCTGCGTGTCTTGAATGAAGAAGGTTTTGAGATTAAAGAAAGAGAATTGATGCGAGTACGCGCGAAGAATCGCTGGCTACTCCGTGTTCCCAATGGAATGAAGTCGCAAGCAACTATCCGACCATCTGTGCAGCTACCAGAAGACGAGGGACTACTGGCACTCCAACAGGAAGTATACAAGTCTGCAGAACCCTACTACGACGCTCAGAATCTTCCTGCCGATTCATCGGTCATGCGGTCTCCGTCGCCTAGCTTATCAGCTGATGTACTCGCGAAGCGTCAAGAGAGACTTGAACGCTTGAAAGCGGAGAGTGCTGAACGTTGGGCTTCCAGGAAACGGCGTCGGCGCACCAGGGAATGGGCTGGACTACCAGCCGACCCGCCTGGGCCACCTCGCTTTCCTTCTGAGACCACAATCGATGAGAGTAAGAAATACCTGAGCCTAGACAATTCTAGTTACCGTCAAATAAGAGATCAGTTTCAAAGGATATGTGAAGAGGCAGGGTTCATCAAGAAAACTGTTGCTGGACCTGAAAGATGGCAGGAAGCAAAAAACAGACTAATACAAGAGTCTGAGCATCTTCAGCGGGTATTCTGGGAAGATCACAATCGGCTTGATGCCAAAGCCCTCGCTCTCGATGTCGTTTGTACAGATGTCACTAAACGGATGAGGACATTAGAAAGGCGAATGACAATCGCGGAAGCTAAAAACGCCCTTGGGATCAATCCCGAAGAAAGCCGCCAAATTCGAAACGCATTTTACAATACACTAAAAGCGGCTCATTTTACCAGCAAGTTGGAGGCTGGTGACGAGCATTGGAAGCAACTGAAGGAGAGTTGGATTCGAGACACTGAGTTGCTGCAACGCATCCTTGCCCCGGGCTTGGCAGATCCGGAGCATGCTACGAAATTGAAAGCTCTCGAAGTCCTCTGTCGCGATGTTATGAAGCGACTTCGTGATGACCAAACCAAAAGAGATCCCTCTCGGAAGAAGTCTATTACTCGCACCAATATTTCAAGTCCAGACGCTGCCGGTACCCATGACAGTAGTGCATTCGGCAGCATTACTAATGGAATCAGCACGCTTGCGTCGCAAGCTCTCGCCAGCGCCCCGATGACATCGGGTGACTTAAATGATATGCAAATAGATCCGTCGCTTCTGCAAGCGGCAAACGATACTTCGTTTGCCTCAGCAAGTCATGATACTGGAAATCCTTTTGGATACGTTGACCCTATTCTAGATTCAAGTTCGCTGCAAGTGCCGATCTATGTGCGAATCTATCCTCCAGACCAGGTTCACGAGGAGTCTAAAACCAGCGTCGAGAAACTAGCAACAAAATCCGTCATCGAGTTACGCCAGCTAGTTGTTTCTAGGCATCCCGGTTCCATCGTTACCAAGATTCAGGGAGTCGATCAGGATGAGCATGGAAACGAAGTCACTTTCAACATCCATGACGATAATGAACTCGACGCTTATTTAACACATGTACATGGGCGGAAGGCATACTTTGTCTGTCGCCTAGCTTAGGCCCTAAAAGGCATCCACATGTGTATCTAATACACAAAAGGCGACGGATCGATCGGCTGTTTGGCTTGAACTCGGGAACCATTTGTTACGCAATTGCCCTGCTTCATCCTGCCTCGACGATCTGTCAATTGACCTCATGCTATCTTGCTTAGGGTAGGAAATTTCCACTATAAGCTGATGTTGCTTTCAAACCTGTGGTTGAGTAACGTCAATCGAGGTGACCCGTGGGTTTGCGTAATGAGATCGGGCCGGAGCCTGATGAAATGTCCGATCTGTCTACGATTTATATGCACAATTGAATTATGACTGTTGATATATGTGATGCGCCTATGCAGACAACCAAGGAAAATCATATAATGACACCTCACGGTCAATAATGGCAACAAGGACAGCAAATAGAACAAAGATTTTTCGTGTTGTCTTAACAGAATAAGGTACATTGATTCTGGTTTGCCCATTCAAGTTGTAAGATTTTGCACCAGACTTTTAAAAAGAACACTAGTGGGAGGCAACACAAATGGCGGAGTATCATTAAAAACCCCGGGTAGCCCAGATGACTGCGGAGCTGAAGAGCTTCCGCTGACTGGAAGAGGCTGAAGATTACCATGCCTTCTCATGTCGCGAGAACGTGTTCCAAATAAGCCCCCAAGCCCGTAATTGTGAGAGGTCCCGTCCTTGGATTGCGGTATTAACTGGGGAGCTTTATCTGAACAACTGAGGCGTTGCACATTGGCCATGGCATCAACGACGATGTAATCCCCAGTAAGTGGATCTGAGAGTAGGGATACCGGACAATGCTTCAAAGACTGTCGAGTAAGCAGGGACAAGGTCTGAACATCATAGACTCGTATATCGAACTGAGATCCGCACGTCCTTCTCGTTCCAGCCAGATGTCGCGGGACTTTTGAGGCAACTGCACAGGTTTGCGACTTTGAGCTCACGGCCAGAAGTTGATCGTCACACGGAGTGTTATCATGAACGGCTGATGAACTGATTGTTCTGACTATGTCGCCAACTGTATCCCAAATATGTGCCGAATGCAGGGATAGAACGACAAGATAGCGTCCCAAGAATCTGGCTGCACATGGACGACCCGAGTAAACCCCTACCCTACTGTGATGAATCTTGCGATTCTGCATATCCACCAGGATGACGAGGCCGGAGCGCGGACTGGACCTGGTTTGCACGCAAACAGCAAGCACCGTCCCGTCCTCAGAAAAGCCCATACAGGCTGCATTTGCAGGCTCAGTTCCGCCACCAATAAATTCGCCTTTTAGGTCGATAGTACCTCGACATTTCCAGGTCTGATATTGGTGTTCTGGACGTTTCGTTGCCAACCCCAGGCGCGGCCTGTTACTCGCGCACCAGAAGCGGAGCATGGCATCACAGCCCACTGTTGCAAATTCATGACTGTATGGTCTGGACGCAAGATCCAGAATAGGCACCGAAACGCTGTCGCAGGAGTGAGGGCTGTTGATACGTGTGGCTAACTCCCACATATTGGACACTTCGTCCCATCTCCAAAACTTGAGGTATGTTTCCCGGTAAAGCGTATGGCTGCCTGTCGAAGTACTATTCGGTTCAAGAGCCCTGATATCTTCAGGGCGCGGCATCCAGTCATCGATCGTCGCCATCCACTTTCCATCCTGACATATGTCAAGGTGACTGACGTCCGGGGCAACAATTTCGGTCCCCTCTGGACTGATCCTCAAAGTGGTGGCATTGGTCCGTGAAAGAGCTTGCCTGGATATTTGAGAGTTGGTGCGGATATCGTATGTCTGTAGCACGCACGAACTCGTTGTAGAATGATAATCCCGTGCGGCATGACGCGAAGCTGGTACCGCCACTAGAAGCCGATCATGGAATTGTGGGTGCAATACAGCTGCAGGAGGTTGAAATGAGATACGCGACTCTGGCAGAGCTGCATCGGCAAGCTTGTTGACTTTGGGGCAAAGTTGCAGGCCAGTGATAGTAACATAAGGTTGCAGCTCTGTCGCTGACAGCACCATGATACAGTTGTCAGCAAGCTTCACGATGTAAGCTTTCCCAGTTGTAGAAACGACTAGATTGCAAATGGGTGAAGAGAGATGAGGTAAAAACTGCTTGCGACCAGTGTCTAACTGCCATAGAACCATGACTGACTCATCTCCGCCTGAGATTATGTAGTTACCTGGATCCTGTTAACGGGGCTGCCTCCTTACTTGCACTGGCTAGAGTAGGTACATACCATCCTTTGACCAACGGATTGCATTGACGGGACCTCTATGCCAATGCAGCCGTCGAGGAGCCAGGCCCGTACTATCGTCCGAGCCAATACCACCTGTAGGGAAAAGAGCAAGAAAATCATGATAGATTAAGATTGAGCCCCCAGATTCGCCCAAAACAAGGTCCATAGTATCTGGGTTATTGTCCTGTGAGCCCTGGGGTATTGTTCGACTTCGTGCTCTGCTCTCTCGAACATCAATGCAAGTGACCCGGACAGGCAGGACGACCTCCCTCCAGGCGTACTGCATAGTTGACGGGTCTGGCGTGTTCAATTCCCTGGTGCCAAGCAGAAGGCGCTGACCAGCCCACGCGACTATCGCTTGTCCTTGTCTGAAAACCCTGAAATTGTCTATTCGTTGGGTCGTTTCAAAGACAACAATGTCGCGTGGTGTTTCACCGTTGAATAAGGTGACTGTAAGCTGTCTCTTTCCATCCTTGCGCCCTCGCAAAGAAAAGAGAAGCTCATATCTTAATTTCCCGAACTCAGAGGGGCATAATTCAGCAAGGAGTGTCTCTCGGGCCAAATCCCAAGAAGCGATTTGATCTCCAGAAAGCCAATCCCACTTGCTCACACAACCAGTTGAAGTGATGATATAAAGATGTTGCGGATTTTCGGAGCAGATATTGTAACCCACGACTTTTTGACCATCCTTTAACTGTAACGTACGGGACCGGTAAGAGGTCCCAATCGAATGAACATGAATTGCTGTGTCAGTCCCGACAAGAAGATGCCTAAAACAAATCACTTAGCGCTCTTCACTATGGTAATCAAGGCTTCGCATCAACTCTTGAGGTAACTCACTCTTCATCCGAAGTGATAATCGGGTCGAGGTTGCTATACTGCCCACCGACTGGACTTGAGAGACACCAATTTTCGCGGGAGAATTTCGTCTGCTGCTCACGAGTATGCGCAGAAGGATCTTGTGTGGGAGTGGCATTCTGAGTGTTATTCACCATCGCCTTTCCTTTAGCAGCTAGTTGTACGTCTTCAGTAACATCAAGTGCGCCCTTGGAAAATCGACGACGCTTGGTTCTATCCTTCTCGGTGCGCAAGGCATCGCTAGTTCTGGATCTTTTTGTATGTCCTGGCGCGAGACTCGAACCCGACATTGTAAGGGAGATTAGGCAAGGTGAGGTCAGGGGGATCAAAATGAAAACGATGCAGCTTAGTTCAGACTGCTACAATGACCTCAGAGACGCCGTGAGGTAGTCTGATATACAAGAGTCATGGTTCTCTTGTAGGCTTGTTTTTTCATCCAGTTCTTTTTTTTTCTCTTTCGAACCCTTTTGGGTCCCACCAAGATCTCCCAGATTTTGCGGCTAGTATATATAAGGTTAGCTAATTTCCTAAAACAGTGAATATGTGGGGAAGCGATGCAAAATTATATGTCCGCATTTCTAGTACCTTTTCAGGATATTCATTCATTCTTCTGTTCAGTCTCTGCAAGTATCATAACAAGATCCAATAAAGCAATACCATTTTTGTTCTACATTGTGTGTCCTGTATTGACCTTATATCGTCTGCATCTTTCTTGATCTTTTAAGAAAACTCATTAGCATACAATCTGAACCAATGATTATCCCTGTTCGGTGCTTTTCTTGTGGCAAGGTAAACTTGATCCTTTCAACAAGCTGCTTGCTGTTGCTCATAGATTTCTAACCAGGTTGTCGGTGATCTTTGGGAACGTTATTTACAGCTACTTGATGAGGGTATTCCGGATGGGTAAGTTTGACCCTCGAGTTATCCAATTTTTCCTTCGGATTTAATTGTTTTGCTAATACCTTTTGTAAAGTGATGCTATGGATCAGCTTGGTTGCAAGAGGTACTGTTGCCGCAGAATGATCATGACACACGTCGATCTCATTGAAAAGCTTCTTCGGTGAGTATATATGCTTCTGACTTCGCTCGCAGCTATGCTTATACTCTCCTAATAGGTACAATCCTGCTGAAAGAGATCGGGCAAAATCTCAAATATGATGTTTTCTGTCTTCTGGCTGTGGGATCTATTGTGTCTACGTACCCTCAATATCTCCAATTCCGCTCTCCCTGGCCAACTTGACAGAACGACCGGGTTATGCTCATAGTGCAAGACCTTCCCCTCTGTGCAGGGCCTTGCTAGTCCCGTTTCTGCGACAGTACCGACTTGTCCCATCCTCCCCGTCGCTTTAATGCTATCATGCCTCTCGATTACCCTGAGGCTACGCCTACTTCTGAGTTCGAACCGACAGTATCCGAAAAGTCAAGGTATAGGAGAAGTAAGGTGGAACCTTTTCCTCCGTCTGCGGGCATCGATCACATTTCCTCGCTTCTGTGGTTCTGCGCTACTTGCCTGTCGCTCATGTGGATAATCTGAATTGTAAAAGCTCAGCATCTCAGATCAGTCTTATGAGTCGCTTTCATGCTTTGATGCTGTCAGCCCTGAGACGTATGATTAATCTCGGACGATCTATCATATTCCTTACGTTTGAGGTGCTTTCTGGATACTGGGTCCACTTCTTTTGACTGTGAAATGAGGATGTCTCGAGCTTGGACAGTGATTTGCATATGCAATAGTTGAGCTCTTACCTGGGAGAACATCAGGATACCCGGGACAGTCTGTTGCAGCTATGCAATTTGACCTAGCTATACGTTGATTGCAGCCAACTTTACAACCTGTTATAAATATGAATTGTTTGCCGCCACTTTCAATCTTGGCCTGGAATGAAAAATGCTGCCATGCAGCAGCCTTAAGCTTCTCTATATCATGCATGTGACTACTGTTGACACCACTATATTCGGGCGTTTTGATCTGAATGCCGTATTCTATGGATTGTCGCAAAGAAGGAAGAGGTAGCAAAACCCCCTGCTCCTATTCCTTGTAGCTGACATATATGTACTCAACTACAATGGAAACCTTACACCTGGATTGAGACTGGCAATTATAGAAAATTTTCGGAAATCATTTGCACTAACACATGACCCTGAAGCACATGTCCACAAAGTACTCCGTATACATCAGCATTCGAACCAATGACAAGGAAATTATTGGTATGAATCCCGAATTCCTAGCTTCACGAAGTACCTTATCAAAGAGAGTCACTGCTATGTCTCATTAGTTGTAAATAATGTACAAGCTAACCTGGGTGCAGCCCCTCATACTTTAAATGCTTTAAATGCTTAACTACCTACCTTACTTCTTATCAGGTGTTTTCTATAAAGTAGATAGGTATGCACCACATCTGCAAAATTTATCTTGGAAGAGGTATAGAATGCCATGATATTACGGTTTGCTTACGGGGAATTACTGCGCTCATGAGTGAGCATTAAAAATCAACAGCTAACTTTCAACACACTTTGGCCTGTACCCTTATAGAGCAAGTACATAATAGACGACCAACTGCTTCGTACCAGAGCGGGGAGATTGTTTACGCAGCACAGCCCGTCCAAGATCAGAAGTACTTATTATCAGAAGCTAAGCCAAAAATGGCCATACCATACTCTTTGCTGTTGCAGATGAAAGAGGAGCACTACTGGGCGGAGGTTGACTGTACAAAGTGGCACTCCATTATAGCCGATTGGCAGATTCAAAAAATACTGGACACAAGCCCAGTGACTCCTTCAGGATGTAAGGACCTGAGAGGATTTCCGTCGGATGACCTTGTATTTGCTAACACACCAGGTCCATTGATGATCGTCCTGCCAAACATGGACTTGAGACCATGGATATCTTGGACGCTTCACTAACAATTCCATCACACGATCAGACGGACGCTGTAGAGCACGATGACACTGGCATCCATGACTCGGAAAGACCACTTGCATCTAAAATCACTAAACCCAAGCTGCAAATATATCACATCAACCAGACCGAACTCAGGGTAGGTATTGTTTATGCATGAAAGAGTTGATAGTCGTCATTGACCTTCATGAAAATATAGGTACAAACAAGACAGACTTCTCTTGCCGCTCTCGGGCCACGAGCGAACGATGATGATGCTCCACAGTCTGTGATACATGCACCTCCTGGCTTTCGCCAATTTGTAAGGATCATGTTAGACGATCTGTGGGCCGTTACCTAGTTGCTAAAGCCGTGTCTGTTCTAGAAGTTTGGCACTTATGACGACTCCGACAGCTTGATCAACCCAGTTATGGCATACCCAGTTATGGCATCATCGCACAGCAACTTGACCGAGATAACACCATCGATGGTTCGAGACGACGAATCAGGAAAGGTGCTTGATCGCTCCCAGTCCACAAGCTAGCAGCGACTAATTTCGTTGTAGAAGCACTCTATATCACCGTCTCCTTTAACCACTTCTATTGAACCTGCGAAAGATTGGTCAGAGCGAGCAACTCCTCGAGCACAAACAAGGCAGGATTTCGAAAACATTGGCCTCCAGTCTCAGCCGAATGTTCTCGCCGGTGAAATCCCGGCTCCTAAGCAACATACATCTACGGACTCTACATTCTATGAGCCGAGCATTCTTGTGCATCAGAATATACCTCCAGTTCAAACTACAGGTGTCTCTACCGGGGGTTCGAGCACACTCGAAGCCGCAGTTCGGCAACTTTTTGACGGTGAAGCTGAGATCATAGCACTCAAAACAGCGCTCGCGGAATGCTGGACGCTCTGTAATACACTAGCCAGGCTGAGCTATATCCATCGCGGGCGTACTGCGGACAACGCTGGCACTGGTCTCATCGAAGAAAATGCATGGACATCATGCTGGAAGCTGTGTCAGGAGTTATATGAGAGTCAGCAAGGTGAGTATGTGTCGCCGGTCAAGCCGACGTTAGACCTGTGTCGTGAATTCTGCCAAACTTTATTTGAAATCCGCATCCGTGACAACGAGCTTGCAGATTCAGTGCTTCGGGTCAGTTTCGAATTAAATAATCATCTTTACAACACGCATGATCGGCATTTACCAGACGCTTTCAGGGAAAGGACGCTAGACTTCTATATCACCCTTTGTCATCGTCTCATGAAACAGAGGACCCGTGTCTCGGAGACCGACTCCCTTTTGAAGGCTTCTTGGTCTTTGGCGGAGATGCTGTTCACAATCCGCCAAGGTAAAAGGGAAGGGAGGCCGATAAACGAAGAAATGCTTGGCTCCGCTGTGCAAGCTTGCTGGGAACTCTGTGATCTTTTTCGTGAGGGATGGACACAACGTAGCTTGCGTTACTCTGATCGTGGAACGCCACGACCGAGTCAGGCCACCTTCACCCATGGCATGCAGCAGACCGGCCAACAGGAAATCGCTGCTACAGATGAACGGCTGCGCCAGCGAGGTAATCCCGAAACTCCTACGACCATATTCGATGAGACCACCACTATTTCGCCAGATGACGCCCCAGTTCAGAACATCTTTCTCTTGGGAAAAGATGCTGATCAATCTGTGCAGGCAAGGTGGTCCTCGAGCTTGTCAGCAGTCTCAGATATCAGCCAAGGTTCTGGGCAAACATCTTCGACAAATACTATAAGAACGTCGCCTAACGATACGACCTTGGCATGTATACAAGCTTTGCTGACCAAGGCCGCGGTCGACAGCGGATTTCAGCCCGAGAAATCACAAAGCCTATCAAGCTTTGTAAAGACGCTTTCATCAGACGCGTTTGGATCGGCACCGTGGCAAATGTCACTTCTGAGGAGTTATAAGAGTCTTCTGGCACATGACCCAGTATTCCGCAATATTGACTTGCAACCGCACTCGAATGCTGCGGACATAGCAAGGGCTGTCCAAGTGACGACACAGGGCAGTCAATATTCTTGGCTGCGGGATCTCTATCGCCTGGTGTTTGGCGTCCATGTGGATGATGTCGCCAGTCGTCAGGGGATCGGACTTCAGGCATAATGCATATCTTGGCGAGGATAACTCACTTATTATGGATACTATAACTCTGGCTTGATATGTCTGTCTCAGCCACCATTATAATTGTATGTTGTTTGCTGATTGCGTCGGTACTCTTTTTAGGAATCCTGTTCAAATCTCCAGGAATAAGTACGGTAAAGTCTTATCCGGGCAGGGTTCCCTCTTTTCTCCCTCTATTCTTCGCCCCAATATGACTCAAAATGACTGTCTTGCTCGAGGGCTGGCTTCTTATACTCAACTCATTGGGGCCAACAGGCCGATGGGCTCGTGAGAAAGCCTTCTTATCGATCGCAGCGAGAAAAGGTGTTTACTTGCCTGGTATTTACGCTTCATCGTGGTGCTGGTAGCCTTTACTCATTGCACGGCATTGTGGGCAGTGCTGAACTCCTACCAGAAATCTTTTTTCTGTTTCGAGTTTTTGACGAACATTCAATGGAACTCGAAGCCGCCAGGTATATTCCTCCTGAGATTGAGGCTGACGTCAAGCCGAAGTATCAAGGCTTCGACGGAAGAACTCGAGTCTCTACCCAGTCTGTCAGCAGTCTATCCTGAAGACATTCATGTCGTACTTACACTGGCTATTTCCATTCCCTCATTCTTGCCTACCCATTCTCAAAAATTCCGTTCTCTTACTTTCTGGGGCGATGTACTTGTTTGCAGAATATCGGGTGTGCACTGCAATGACAAATTCAATATGATTTGGATTACTGCTGCGATCAATCTAACGGTCAATGGTGTGTATGATCTGTCGCTGGTGAAGCCACTGGCTACTGCCATCTGACAAGCTTTTATGGCTGTGGGAGCTCTATGTCTCCCAGGAACGTAATCTTCTTCGCCCGACTACAAGCAGTATAAATCATGAGTGTATGCAGCATGTTGATTAAATTGTACATCCAGCTCCACAGTCTGTACATTCTAAGAATGAAGCATAGTCTGACGATGAGCACGTAGGATCTAGTGTTGGCCAGAACATGGATATCATATGGCGTAGGAGTATTTGGCACAATCCTATAGTCTCATTGATGTAAGGTCTGGTACATGGTAAATTTACTAGCATTATGCCTCTCTGCCTCCTCCTTCGATGGCATTTTCTATCCATGACAAAAGTTCATCTGATACTTTGTGGAA